CAAATCCCTCAAGGGAATCCAAATCCCTCAAAAACATTCCCGCAAATAGTACATATTGGTTCTAAATATACACAATATTGCTTGTAAAAGTAACTACAAACTTTTTCTTACAAATTACATGACCTGAATGTAATAGCTTTAGGAGTTCATGTAATACACAGCTTCCACAAAATTCATGCTCAACATATAACCAGATGTAAAGCTATAACACGTCAATTCACATCTTCCCCTTCCCTTTACCTTCCGGATGTGCCCGACTCGAAATGCACATGTTTTAAAACAAATTAAGGGTTAGACCATAAGGTCTAGTGAGTAATCCCTCATAGCTTTACAGCGTGAAAATCACCAAAAGGAGATCAAGTTAAAATCGACAAAGCCTAAAAACAAGAGGGTAAAGGAATATGTAAGTTGTCATGCGTGATTAGTCATTATCTAAACCCCATAACCGAATATAAATATCAAGTAATACTTATGGTTGTATAAACTCAATATTTAAAAAGATTGTCCAATCAAATCTATGGATAAGAAGAGTTTCAAAGTATCAAGACAGACATGTGTATTTGACGTGATGCTATTTTAAACCAAAATTAATTACTCAGAATGCCTCTTCTATGAGAGAATGTAATTCAAGTAGACATGATTTAAGAGTGTTGAATGATTAATATGTATAAACCCGTGTATCATATACTGAGAACCATATTGTTTTACAAGTTAATGTTTTAGATCTGATCAATCTTGATCTCAAAGACATACTTTAGTCAATAGTCGAGCGACGCTAAATTGAGACCAATGCCCAACTTTAAAACTTGTAGAATTTTCCATATATCGAATTAAAGCTTTTGATCAATATTTCTCAATTTAGGGTATATGCATCCCAATTTTGAGATGTATGAATCCCAGGATCTTTTATATGACAACGTGCATTCGTATAATAAAAATGGTTAAAGATAAATAACAATGACTGGTCAAAGTCATTTAGATCTACATCGTCCCAAGGCATAAAGTTTGGATTTGGATTCAAGGCATAAAGATTGGATTTGGATTAAAAGACTTAGGGGCCATTTACAAAACATTTATCCATCGATAAATTTCAACACTATCATTTACTTACCCAGTAAGATGTTAGTCAACAAAAACGACTTTATATGCAACAATTTACCTAGTAAGTCGCTTATCGTGTAATAAAAAAAGAAGAAGAAGAGGAGGAAGAAGAGGAAGAGGAAGAAGAAGAGGAAGAAGAAGAAGAAGAAGAAGAAGAAGAAGAATATATATGTGACACTTCATTATATTTGCATTTAGATCTTTAAATGAAACATGGCCATCTCATTGGTTGTGAAAGTGGCTACTATAAGGCCTCTAAACTCCTCCCTCAGGACACTGCTGTGTTGCCCATGAGAGTCGCCCGCCACCAGTGGAAGCAAAGCACCTTGAAGGGAATTTCCATTCTTGTTTGGAGTCAAAAAAAATGTTTATATATTTCAGATTTGTTTTGGCGCTTGAAATCTAATACACAGAAAAGGGATTTTAGAATTTTATAAGAAAAAGCACGCTCTGAAGCATTCCCATTAGGATTTGGTATTATGGAAATCCTTGCATAAAGGACTTGTACATTGTGCAAAATAATTTGTAATTAAGAGATATTTGAATTTACGCTTTAAGACTTTTGTTTAAATGGTTATTAATGTAGTATAGATATCCGAATATATAATTGATAAGTGATATAGGATTCTCTTGATAATTATTATTGGGGCCCTTCTCAGAGTACTTATTCAGGGTATCCTTCTTCCTTCCCTCTTGTTGATAATTGCACGAGATTCACATGGATTTATTTAGTGAACCATATGATTGATGCTATTCATGTTATACCCATATCTTTTGACCATGATTGATACTCAATTTTCTGCCAAGATCAAAGTGTTCCGTTCCGATAATACTCTAGATTCTCTTGATAATTATTATTTGGTGTCAATACCCGTTCCTACTTGATAAGCCTCTTAACACTAAGAGACATCTAACATTGAAGCTGACAAAAGGGTAGCTGACACTGAGGCTCTAACACTAAAGATCACGACTGAAGGTCCAAGGTGATCAAGTGTGCAGAACTGAAGTCCCTAACACTAACAATGACTTCATTTTGCTCATTGTTGGGTCTGAATTTCTGTGGTAAATTGTATTTGTCTTGAAAGTATATAAATGTCTATAATTATAAAGACATCGTGTTTGACTTTGTAAGTACGTTTGACTTTAACTAAGAAGGGTTTTAGTTTGACCCTATATATAGATTTGTCTTTAGTGTAATTGTGAGAAGAGAGCTTATTGTAAAATTATGTACAACATTGAGAGTTAATAGAAGGTTTGACCAGATTGACTTTTCCTCTCATCTCCTTCAAGTGTTCTTACAAGTTCATATTCATTTGCCATTGAATTGTATGAAGATTGATCAACTTGTGGACTCACGATTGGTATCAGGTTATGCAAGAAACCAGAAGAAGAAATCAACTGATTTGAAGAATCTTTGAAAAGGTTCATATTTTTTCATCTCATATTCTTCATTTTTAAAGGAGTTTGATCCGAAATTTTTTCAAAATTTTGTATTTTTGTGTTAAAATCATGATCAAACTGTACGTAATTACTTCGTGAATCTTTGTTATTCGCAAAGATTTGCGTTTTGTTATCATTATTTTTTGAGTTTTGGTGGAATTTGTGGTTTTAAAAAGTTTTGTGTTCTTGAGTTTTTTTTCTTCAGAAAGTCATATTTTGATCTAATTTTAGATGAAAAAGTTGTATTTTTTGTGTTTTTGGTGAGTTTTAGGCGAATTCCCCTTAACCGGTTTTCTGGTTTTAGCCATATTTTCTTACAAAACTCGGATACCTCTTACCCGTATAAAATTCAAATCGCTCAATAACTTGTTCATACTTACTGTTTATCGCACACAAGCTTAGTAGATTTAGCCATTCTCGGTCACTAGCTTGGCCGAGTTCAAAGCATCTCCGGTCATCCTTTCAACCGTATTCAAGCATTCCGGACATATATCTGTAGTCAAGAAACTCGCTCACAAGACTCTTAGCCGGTTTTAACTTGGTTTTTCTTGATCTCATAATCCGGACACGCTTATGTCCGGACTTGGTATTCATCGTACAATCTATTGACCG